CTTCGGTTTTATGTTACTGCAGCAACCTCTTACTGTTTTCACTTTGCTTTAGGTACTGTTTCTTGCTACTGTTTTACTTTGTATTTGATTGTTTCATTCTGTTTACACCTACTTACAGAAGCACAAATTACCTTTTTTTTTTTTTAATCATACTTGTACACTTTGCTGCCAATGTCAAATTTCTGACTGCCTCACAAAGACTTTTTTTTGTCAGGTTGCCCATGCTTCTGGTTGCTTACTAAGACATAAATCTGTTCTTAGAAGTCATATTGGTGGGTTTATTATTGCCATTATTTTGAAAGCCAAACTAGCTATGCAATATATTTCAGTAAGTAGAACGATGAAATATAAACTAAAATGCTGGTTCTCTCTCACTTTCTCTTTGGTAACTCCCAACAAATGAGACAGAAAAGGAAAATCCTTTCTATATGCAGACTGAAAATGAAATAAACTAGTTCAACTTGCATAGAATTCCAAGGCTTCTGATACAGTAAAATATGAATTAAGTAGAAGGGACCTCTTTAAAAGGGTTTAATTATCCTGATAAAAGTTGTATGTATCAAACTAATGACAATTTAGCATATAAGCCAACTGGAAAACGCATATTAATCTGTATTTCTACTTCCTGAATATGTGAAAACTGCTTACATTTTAGGATATAAAATAAGCTGGATCAAATGTCATTCAACTGATTTTTCAAAAAACCACACTGTCTAGTACAAACAGATTTCTATTCAAAAGAGAAAAAGCGCTAAGAGTCAAAAGTTGAACAAGTTGTTGCAACTATGCTCCCAGTTTTACAAACATATTTCATACGGGGCAAAGAAATATCTTGGTCTTCAACAAGTGCATTTCTCAGTGCAAGACAAAGGAGAGAGGGTGAAAAAAAACCAAACAGACCTTCCTAAGAAGGTGAATGGTCCTACCTTGGTTCAAGAAGTACAACCAAACAACAAAGCAGGACTACAACTCTGCAGTGTATCACCATAAGACAGACTTGCACACTGTATGCAACATATATATCACCTACATTATTCTACATATGCTTTAGCTGAAACAGTAAGGAGTTATTTACAGAAGAATTCGGCTTGTTCCTCTAAACCTGCTCATTCCAAGTTAATTACAGACATAAAACTACACAGGCAATTAACTTCTTAGACATATATATTTTCTTTAACTTCAGCACGTATATTGGCTTAACACAACTGCCAAGACACAGAGTGTGCGCCACCACACATTCCTTTCTAGCTTGTTCATTTAAAATTGCAGAATCAGATTGGCAAAGTGCCAGACTTAAAGTCAAGCTCAGTCTTCACTGGCACATTGACCTACTTATTTTATTTCTACAGCACTGCACTACACAGACCTTTTTTGAAATGGACATTCAGACAATGCCATAGTCAAGTCACAGTCAAACAGGAAAAACAAAAGCCTATGAACTGCTTCTCAATTAAATATCTACTGAAATCTCACAGACTGACTCCCAGCCTGCATCTGCTGATTTATTCGGCTTTCCAAGAGACAGAGCACCGCAAAAAAACCCTCCTTTAAAACAGCTGTCATCTCCTTTTGTTCTAAAAGCCTAAGGCCCTTACTGTCCTCCATCAAGATACACTTCCCTATTTGTTCATAGTGAAGTGAAGCTGATCTCAGAAAAGACGGTGTCTTCTATTGCCTAACACTTTTTCTCCCTCTTTGATAAGCTAACTTTGTCCTACTGTGACCAGCAGGAAAACCATGAAAACAAATCCTCCTTCCCTGTCATACCACTAGTTTAAGACTGCAAATGGTATTAACACAGTGGTATGTTTATAAACTTTCGTCACCCTAATGCACCAGTAAATTTATTTGCATCTATCCCCTGTGCATCTGCCCTACCTTCAGGCTCCTGCTAAAAATAACTTAGCCCTGAATTGCCAAAATATGGCTGCCTCTTTGGAAACTACCATCTTCCTGGAACACCTCTTTCACTATTCAGGAACATCCCTCATACATATTTTACCTGGATTCAACTCTCTAGCAGTAGGTAGACACCACGATGGCAAAAACTCTTCTGAAAAGTTCTACAGCAGGAGCTTCCATCCACCAAGCTAACTAAGCTGTGCCTCTTAAAAGCAATTGTATGAATCAGAGAATGCACGTTAAGCTGATAAAGTGGATAAATTAAAGCCTGAACTGCATTTCTTTATTCTTGCCTGTAATATTATAATAAGACCCAACAATTTTGGTCAAGGAAATGGAATCCATGAACAACAGAACAATATTAATAATTTTTTATTATTTTCCATATTAATAATTTTTGTTTTCCTTTGTGAAATAGTATCACTCATTCACTAAGACAAGATCAGGCAAATGCAGCTGCAAGAGTAAGCTTAATCAAACTTAGCTTCAGTCAAAGTATTATTTTAATCCAAACAGAGGCATATTTCTGAAGATGGATCTTATTGGCTTGAATAAGTGTTTGTACCTCAGTAAACTCTTACTGATGACATTTTTATGAATGTGATGAAAGCTTTGTATGAAAAGTACAAGCAGTATAAAACTACAATTGTGGGTTATTAAGAAATGACCGCAATTTTAAAACTTACATTAAATACAGTAACTTGCATTATAAAAAAAGAGTAAAACCACTGATCACATCCTAAGCTCCAGTATTAACGTTAGTGATTTCTTTCAGAATATGTCACTGTACCCTTCATGTTGGACACTGTGGCTTTCCACTAGACATCTGAAAAGACAAGACACTCATTTTAAACAGAGCAGCTCCATCTTTTGGAGATTTTAAATGGCAGCTTTCATTTCAAGTTTATGACTACAATAAACATGAAGTCCTAAAATTAACAACCTTCAAGGCAATACTAAAATCTTCCAAAGTTCTATTTGAAAGAAAAAAAAACCTCCTTTATATGTATAAGGCCCAATATTGCTCCTAGTAATAAAAATACTCCACAAAATAAAAAACTTTTTATTCTCTTCTGAAGCACTCCAGATTATCAGTATCATTCTTATCAAACAATTACCTCACAGACATAGATATACACAACATTTATGCCAATTATTAACAACTGTGCTCCTTTGCTCTTCAACTCATATGAGATTTAGGCCCAGATCTTCAGTTCCTTAGGTGCCCCTGATGATTTCTGAAAGATACAAAATCTTTCAGGCGCTGAGTTACATCATTTCCTTCCAAAACATTTAAGCTTGAAACAACCTTTCAAAGAATATATATGCATCAAGCAACAAGCACCAATCCATTCTCTTAAAATATCCAGAAAACTCACCTGGTTTACAGGTCTGTACACAAAACTCACACCATCCCATATGCAATAAATACTGATTATCTACTCACAAATCATATTTTACTACGTTTACATAATTAAGCCTACTGTATGGGTTGATAGTGTATATATATGCAACATAAACACAAAGGAGAACATAAACATCACCACAGTAAGCATTCTGGTGAAATAAAGAAAGTGATTAAAAAACCTCCTAGTTTAACAAATTCTTTGTTCCACTCTGAAATATCCTAAGCCTCTTTTGCATTACAATGTCTTCCTACCAGGAAGAAACCTGAGTAAAATCAAAGCCAATCTACTTACTTCACTTCCTACTGAAAGGCATACCTTCAGAAGACTGCTTGAAGACTCTAGAATCCCTTTATTATAATAAGTGTGGCACGAAAAACTGACAGAATGGAATTCTGTCTACTGTAGCTCTTACAAAGCACGCATTTTCATGGTTTCTCAGAATTTCCCCCCTCACTCCTATCTACTTACAAGTTAGTAGAACAAGCAATAAAGCTCCAAAAAAGTATGGCCTCCAACAGATACTGATGAAACCAGAGGGCTTTAGCCCAGGGAGAAGGCAACTGAGGAAGAAACATCAACAGCCTTCTAATATGTTACTGAAAAACAAGCAGACAGCTCATATTCATATTCATGCCTGTTAAGGACAAGACAAACGGCAACACCTACGACACCAAAGATGCTTTGGTTGGACAGATATAAAATGACCATGAAGTGACCCAGAATCTCCTTCCAGAGCACTCCAGTTCTCACACAAGCCAAGGGACCCTGACCCTCAGCAGCATCAGCACCAGGCAGCTTGGCTCCATCTGATGTTTCTTCCTTCCCACCCTGACTGAAACTCTGGATCAGGCATGAAGAAACCTTCCAACAGGAAGGACAGTTTCTATTCTTCTCACAGAATGTGTGACCTCTGCTACTATCCTCAGTCACTAAGCTTGACAGAGATCTATTTCATCTGCTTTGTAGTGTGAAGGGACAAGAGGACCTGTCAAAGTCCACCCCCAATCCATTTTTCTTTTTCCTTTACTTGTAAGGAGGAACAATATCCTCATTTTGACTGCTGAGACTAAGCTTTAAGCACCTCAATCTTGTCTTTGTCCTTTTTTTTTAAAAGGCTTTCCAAATTCACAGAACCAATTAGGTTGGAAAAGACCTCTGAGATCGAGTCCAAGCTATGTCCGAACACCACTGTCAACTAGAGCACGGCAGTAAAGTGCCACGTCCAACCATTCCTTGAGCACCCCCAGGGACGGTGACTCCACCGCCTCCCCGGCAGCCCATTCCAAAGTCTAATCAGCCCTTCCTGAGAAGAAATTCTTCCTAACATCCAACCCCAAACCTCGCCTGGCACAGCTTGAGACCGTGTCGTCTCATCCCGACTCACCAGGGACTCAATGCCAACAGAAGACAAGTCAGCAGCATCTGTTGCTCAAGACTCCTGTTTTCCACATCCAAGAGAGCTCCTCTGGCACGCACCGCTCCGAGCCCGCGCTGGAACAGCCAAACCCAGAGGGAGCATCGCCACGGGAAGGCCCGAATCCCGAAGCGCGGGGCCTGGTTCACCCTCCCCGGCCTCTCGCAGCGATGGGGCGGGCAGAAACCCGGCGGGGCTCTCTCTGCCCCGGGGGCAGGGCCCGGTCCCCTGGGCGGGCACCCCGGGGATGCGCCCCGGCCCCGCGCCCCGCTCACCTCCAGCTTGTGGTTGATCTGGGACACGGTCTGCGCCTTGTGGCAGAGCTGCGCGAAACACGAGCTCAGGCTCGTCATCTTCTGCCGCCCCTCGTACGTGATGTCGGCCTGGTCGGGGTCGATCTCGCCCAGCAGCAGGTCCACGTCCACGAACGCCTTGTCGAACTCCTTCTCCAGCACCTCCAGCCAGCGGAACATGGACACGCCGCCGCCCGGGGCCGGGCCGGCCGCGCCCGGGCCGCAGGGACCACCGCCCGCCGCCGACATGCCGCCGCTGCCGCCCCCTGCCCTCGCACGGCGCTGCCCCGCCCCGCCCCCGCCGCTCCCGGCCCGCAGGACCCGCCGATCCCGATCCCGATCCCGATCCCTCTCCGGCTCCCGATCCCGGGGCAGCCACGCAGGGAGGGCGGGCGGGCGCGTGCGCGGCGGCCGCCTGGCGGTGTGGCAGGCAGCACCTGCCGAGCGCCGAGCCCCCGATCGCGCCCGGGCCGCGCCGGCAGGGGGCGCTGCGGCCCCGCCCAGCTCGGCGGGGGGTGGGAGCTGCTCGTGTCCGTCTGTCCACTGTCTTCCTGTCCTCGTGTCCCTCTGTCCACTGCCCTCCTATCCCCGTGTCCCTCTGTCCGCTGTCCTCCTGTGCCCGTGTCCCCAGCCCCCGGAAGCGCCCGCGCCCGGCCCCCGCAGGCAGCGGGCGCGTAGTTGTAATTATAGCCATTTTTGTATTGAAGTACAGCCCGTATTAAGACCTATGCTAAGTTTGTACACAGTGAAGAATAAGAATGTGGACCTTGCCCCGAACAACTTACAATGTAAATACGTGAAGGAAATGATGAATAAATGTAGCATAAAGAAAAGCAAAAGTGGAAGGGGTATTTGTGTAGAAAAGTGCCCAACAGACAGAACAGGCAGCTAAAACCGCAGTTACTGCTGCTCACATCCATCACTGCTTGGATGAGGCACGAGGATATCGCAGCATCACAACCTCTGCAGATCTAAAGCATCAGAGTGAACACACAGAAACAGAGGAAACTTCAGATGGTGACTAACAGACCACGTTGACAGGAAACAAACCCTCACTACTTGAAAGGGGAACCAGCTGCAGGTGTTGAGGGGCAAACTGAGACATGGCATCATTAGATGTGTTTTGGGGAAAAGCTTTTTCATTTTCTGAGCTACCATTGCAAAAATTTCTGCTGTATGGACAAGGGGTTTATTTGACCTAATAGATATAAAATCTGTCTATGACTTACCCATTTTCCAGACAAGGTAACTCAAAAAGAGCCAAACTGAATTGGAAAGCTGGATCATTTTGATGTATATATGGTTATTCTTATGTATAAGGGAGGAGGAAGAGAGGAAAGATAAGTCTTCATTACTGTATTCACTGACATGATGAGCAGGTGCAAATCACACAGCAGGATTTGCAGCGACACATCTATTGCTTGTGCTCAGAAAAGATGCAGAGTTGCAAGTACTGAACTCTCCTTGAACACTGAGAAGGATAGGGTATCCACAACTTCTCTGGGCAACCTGTTGCAGTCTCACCAGCCTCACAGTAAATCATTTCTTTCTAATATCTGACCTAAATGGACTGCCCCTGCCACCTCTGCATCTCTAGAAGCACCAATGAGTGCAGTTATACCCATATAAAAAGTATTGGGTTTTTTTTTTTTTTTGCTCATCCTGGTTCTGACAATGAAACAAATTTCAGGGAACACACTACAGCTACACAGGTGCTTTCTCCAAGACATTCACCTGGGCTACAGCTCATCTCCTTTGAAATACTGCAGTATTGCAACTCTGACATTGATTTCAGTGGGAGCCTTATTAGCAGGTCTTGTGGAGCTTGACTTTATTGCACTGAAGTTGTAATTCCACCTCAAAAGAGAAAAAAGAAAAAAAAAATCACTTTAACCCAGATCAGAACCCTAATCCTGTCTACAACATGGCCCCACAAAATAGGGGGGGCAGCACAACAGAGGGAGAGCACAGGGACCCTCCAGTCAGCAGTGGAGGACACCAGAATAACAGTAAGGGCAGCAGGACCCCTGAATGCCTGGCCCTGGGGCTGCAGGGCATCCTAGGTGGAGTTTCTTTCCTTGCTCCACTTTGCATAAATAATTGATTGGAACACAGATTGACATAAAGATACCACTTTACAGCTCAGTGGTTAGACGAGTCACCTGGAATGTGAAGAGAGATGTCAGAGCAGGAAAGAATTGTACTTCCATCAATCTGTGCTTTCAGAAAAGCTGGATAAAAGCAAACTTCACCACTGACAGTAGATATCTCATGTCCTCTGGGACCTGCTGTTGTAGGCTTGACAAGAAGCTTACAGAGTGTTATTACAAAGCTGCTCGCTTGCCCTTTACTGTTTGTCATGGTTTAACCCCATCCCACACCAAGCCCCACACAGCCTCTTGCTCACTCCCCACCAGTGGGACTGGGAGAGAGTCAGAAGAGTAAATACCAGAAAACTCGCAGGTTGAAATAAAGTTTAATAGGGAAAGCAAAAGCTGTGTACGCAAACAAAGCAAAACAAGGCATTGATTAATTTATTGCTTCCCATGGGCAGGCAGGTGTTCAGCCATTCCCAGGAGAGTAGGGCCCTATCGTATGTAACAGCTACTTGGAAAGACAAACACCATCACTCCAAACACCTCCCTCTTACTCCTTCTTCCCCCACTTTCTATACTGAGCATGATGTAATATGGTATGGAATATCTCTTTGTCAGCTGGGGGCAGATGTCCCAGCTGTGTCTCCTCCCAACATCCTGTGCATTCCCAACTTCCCTTGCCAGCGTGGCAGTACAAAAAGCAGAAAAGGCCTTGGCTCTGTATAAACCCTGCTCAGCAATAACAAAAACATCTCTGTATTGTCAGTCCTGTGTTCAGCACAAATGCAAACCCTGTCCCCCCAGTAACCACCGTGAAGAAAATTAACTACCCCAGGCAAAACCAGCACACCATTAAATTGTCTGCACTGCAGCTGAAGGTAGGTAACAGCAAACTGGGCGGGATTCCCTTACTGCTAAGCCCATCCATGATGGAAACAAAAGCTACAAACACCTTTATATATATCTGCAGAAAAAAAACCTGGCTCAGTAAATTGATGCATTCAGAACAGCAACTGAGCAAAGGGTGTACATGTCTTAAGTTGCCCAACTACTTTGGAATGAGCCCAGCTGAACAGAGCATTTGCTTGACCTTCATCCTGATGTTCACTCTTCACAGCTGTATCAACTGTCTTTTTTGCTCAACAGCGTCCTACAGAAAATCAAATTATTTGCCGTATCAAAAACTAAACTAATTTTATTGTTTAAATTAGTTCAGCCACATCAAATCAATTGTTTCAGGACTATCAGTTTTTACGTTAGCTTTGGCTTTGATTCTGATAGATATTGCACCACGGAATACCTATAGAATCATGTTACATTTTTTGCCTTTTTTTATTTAATGGAACAGTAATCTATCCCTTAGCCAAACATTACCATTTTCTGCTAATATATCTCTATTGTGCATTTGAACAGTATCTACTTATCTTGAGAAAGAAGTTTCCCGTAGTTGCTATGTAACATATCTATAGCAAATACTACCTTTAAAAACTTAGACATAATGTAATTTATGTAGGACTGCTTCGTTTTAAAGAATCAAGTACTGTCAGTTTTTAGTGTCCTTTTCCTTTAGCTCACAGGTTGGTCCAGCTCTATTTTAAATTGGTTTTATCTACAATGGTATCACAGTTTTGTGGTCATTAATTTTAATTCTTTCATTCCTTATCAGTGCTACCTTTGTTTTGCATGTCCTTACATTTCACCACTCAAACAAGGTTTTGTCTCTGCTTATTCCTCTCAAAGATTAGCTTCTCAAATAGAATCCTTTTAGAAGCTTACCTGCAGTGTAATATCTGTCTAATACTTGCTGGACTATGTATAAATGAGAAGGATATTGTTAAGGAAATCAGCTGTTTTGACACTGAATCTTAGTAAATGTAGCTATCATTAGCTACTATTTATATTCCTCACCCGAAATACTGTGTAAAAGAGGGGTTGAAATTTAAAGAAAGTTATCACTGATACAAGGGTAAACACAGGAATAACTGAATTATCTCAAAACTATACTTGGAGGTCCCCTAGAAAATTCTGATCAATTCCAGTTACCCTTGAAATGTCTACCAAAAGCCCCCAGAGCAACCGTAACTCTGTTCTGTAAGCAAGCTGTGCAGTAATTATGGAATTGAACCTAAGAAAGATTAGTAGCTTTGGCCTTTAATTAGATTAAATCGATTTAGAGTAAACTGTAGCATACTACACCCTGATAACATCAACAAAATAATTGAAGAACATTTAAAGAACAGCAGTAGTCCGAGTCAACCACTCTAGCAGTAAGAATCCTTTCTACAAGGGACATTTCTAACAATAGTTGGAGGAAGTTATATGTCAAGAAGAATTTAAATTTGCTGAATGCCTTTAATGTCAAAAGGACTTCACTGAAAGTTTTGTGATCTGTTTCTTTGACCTTATTTATGATGTAGTGCTGATGAAGCTAATCACCAGATAATTTCTTCATGTATAATTTATGTACATAATTTCAATTATTTTACACAGGGTTTAGAGCATGTGAGGCATCTGCATTATACTGTTATTAAGTACATTTGAGTACAAACAGTCCTTCATAAATTTAAACCTGCATACTTTGACTGATTACCAGAGTACCTACATAATTATCCGAAACCTTACTTTGAGCTTAAAGAGTAAAGGACCTTAAGCATGAGCAGAACACATTTTCACAGAAAAAAGTGCCCCAAAATAATACCCAAATCAAAAGGAAAAAATAAATTGCTTGGATCAACATCTCCACTGCTGTAGATTTGGTACTAGTGTCAATGCCTAGACTGTGAGATACTCTATAAACCTTTGGTCAGACCCAGCCCCTGCACAAAGAATTTACAATATAAACACACGTGTTTGCACATGAGGGTCAGTTCCCCCAGAAACCCCTGTAATTGTGGCTGCCCAGCTGTGTGTGCCGGGCTGCAGCGCCTGCACATGTCAAGGCCATCTCCCGTGTGGTTAATGCTGAAGCACCTGGAGGGGTTTGATTGCATGGGTGGCCGTGCAGTCACAAGCAGGGGCACCAAAGGGGAAACGGGGTGAAAACAAGTAATATCTCACAGGATCAAAGTATGGGAGAAAACAGAGATGTAAAGCAAGATGTTCAAGTTCTAAAAAGGAGTTAGAGTGGATGATTAAAGCACATCTTTCTGAAGCACACTCCTTTCTGAAGG